GCCCCGCGGGTCACAGCCCCAAGGCAGCAGGGAGAAGTGCTGAGGGTGTTGGGCAGCACCTGGGATGTGCCCCCCACCCCCAGGGACCCCCACATGGACAGGGATGGCTGCCACAGGGATGCAGGAGCCCTCGGGGACAGGGCAGAGGGGTCACTGCTTGGCCAGCCCGCTGGCAGGACCAGCCTGCCCCTGGGCCCAGGGGGGGTTGTCACCCACCTCGGCCTTGAAGTTCTCCAGCTCCTCCTTCAGGGCTGCAATCTCCCCATAAAGCTGCTCGATCAGCTGGTCCCTGGGAAGGAGACACACCGGGTACAGCGTCAGTGCCTGGGGATGCATCCTGGCAGGGGAAGGACCCCCCGTGCCACAGCAGGCTGGCAGGTGGCTGTGGTGCCATGCAAGGAGGGAGCCCGGATCTCATCCCCACCCCTGCTGCCTCCCTGGCACGGCCAGGGCTGCTCACTTGTCATCCTTGTTCATCCCGTTCTGGCTGTTGAAGTTGAAGGGGTCAGTGCTGAAGGAGCTGCCGAAGATGTCGTCAAACTTATTGTCAAACAGGCTCTGTGGGAGGGCAGCACAGACCTGGAGTGAGCCCAGCACCTCCCAGAAGCCCTCAACTCCTCCACGTCCCCTCATGTCCCTGCCGAGCTGGGCCACGTGTGGGCAGGGCTGCTGAGTGATGCTGCTGCCCAGACACTGGGCCTGCATCCCACCTGCTGCTCTCAGGGTGCTGAATGTGTTGAACAGGAATATGGAGCATCTCTGGGCCATCCCCACCCAACTCCTGGGGCCAGGGCCGGGGGGAGCACCTGGGGACAACTCTTGGTGGAGAGGGACATGAAGACAAGGAAAGGAAGCTGAGCTGAGGGCTGATGCTGAGAAACCAAACATCATCACTGGAGGGCACCAAACCATTAAGAGAAGCACTGTGAGATGACTTCAGCCTGGTTCAGATGGAGTAGGACCCACACCCAGCACCCACACAGCCCCCTGCAATGATGCTCCCCAGCACCCAAGGCCATCCCCACTATCTCAGCCCCCACCATGGAATCGTTTTGGAGAAAAAATTTGGTCCTGGAGCCGAAGGGCACCTGCTGACCCCTCCACAGCATGAGGGGCAGGGGCAGTGCCTTGGTGGTTTTACCTGTGAGGCTGTCTCCATCTCCACCAGGTCCGTGATGGGCTCACTGTCAGGTGAGGATGCCTCAGCAGGGATGACCACCACGGGGCTGATGTGCTCTGACAGGGCTGAGGCACGCAGGAAATTGGGAGGGTTCTGGGGAGGGAGAGGAGCACGGCTGGGGCAGGAAGGACCAGCCCTGCTGCAGAGTTTGGGGCACGGTCAGCCAATGTCCTGCCCCAGCTCTGAGATGGCTGTGCCTGGACGCATGGCTTTGAAGCTGGGACCCGTGGTGATGAAGCCTGGACCCACGGAGATGCAGCCCAGTAGGGTCTCAGGGTTGGTGTGAGGGAATCCTAGTCCCATGCTGGGATGGAGGGGACCTGCTCCATCCCAAGGCATCCGACCCAGGGAGGGATGCAAGGATCAGCCCCACATTGCCACCAGCCACAAGACAGGAGGCACCAGTTCTGGGCACTGTCCCAGTTCTCCCAGCCCAGTTGCTGTTCCTGGCCATGGGGATCAAGAGGTCTCACCTCTGGCAGCTGTGGGATCTGAATCAGCCGCTTGAAGTACTGCAGGTTGCTGGAGCGGTAGAAGAGGTCCTTCAGCCTGCGGGGCCAGGGAGTGGTTAGGGACAGCTCTGGGACCACCCAGACACCCACCCCACATGTGGGGAGCTCCAAGCCCTCACTGGCTCCAGGAGGGTGTCACCAGGCCGCTCTGTGCCGGAGGGGACAGAGGTGTGTGCTGCCACCGAACCCATGGTCGTCCTGGGAAGATCCCACCACCAGCCTCCCACCTCTGGCAAAAACTGACTGCAGGAGGCTTCCTCCCATAAACCCGGGACCTGGCCATCAGAGAGAAGGACCTGGAACTTGAGCGACCTGGTCTAGTGGAAGCTGTCCCTGCCTATGGCAGGGGGGTTGGACTAGAGGATCTTCAAAGATCCCTCCCAACCTGAATCACTGTGAGTCTATGAAAACATGAATTGCAGCAGAACAGCTGCACTGAGTGGCACTGGGGAACAGCCACCCCTGTGCTGTCCTCACTACAGCCAAAGCTGGAAGGGACATCTGAGAAACATCCCCACTGTTCCCACTGCAGCCCTGGCCACCAGTGGGCTGGGGTTCCTGTCTGGAGGCCGCATCTGCACCATCACCCTCAGCTCCCCACAGGAGCAGGGCTGCTTCCCTCCAGGATTTCCAGCTTTGGGGAGCAGTGGCAGTGCCTGATCATGCCACTCCTGGCTTCCCTCCCTCCCAGCCATCCTGGTGGTATCTTGGTGCTGGTGCCACCCACCCCAAGGTGTCTGCCCTGGGTGCTCAGAGCCCACACACAGCCCCACTATCTGCTGATGTCCATGCCTGGTGTTTCTCCTGCGGGTGCTGGTTTGCAGTTTGTGACTTTGAACCCAGCTGTCCCTCAGTGCTGTGACATCCACCCCCTCCATCCATCTCCCCCTCATTTCAACCACTCTAAATAACCACAGACCAGAGATCACAGCAACTGCACTTGCTCCATCTTTCTGGTCTTGGAGGACTGGTTCCAGCACCATTGCTGGGGGTCACCTTGAGACACTCACTGCTAGAAAACCTGACTATTTGTGTCCTCTCTTTTGCACAGTCACTGATCCAGGGGAGACCTGCCCTCACATCTCATTGAATCATGGACTCACAGAGTGGTTCTGGTTGGAAGGGACCTTCAGAGATGATCCAGTCCAATCTCCCACCATGGGCAGTGGGAGGTCCAACCTCCCACTAGAGTGGGTTGCTCCAAGCCCCATCCAACCTGGCCTCCAACACTGCCAGGGATGGGGCAGCCACAGCTTCCCTGGGCAGCCCGGGCCAGGGTCTCCCCACCCTCAGTGTAAAACATTTCTCCCTGTGTCCAACCCAATCCCACCCTGGTTCAGTTTAAACCCTTGTCCCTTGTCCTGTCACTGCAGGCCCTGCTCAAAAGTCTCTTCCTCTTTCCTTCAAGCACTGATTGGCCTCAGGAAGGTCTCCTGGAGCCTTCCCTTCTCCAGCCTGCACAGCCCCAACTCCCTCAGCCTGTCCATAGCAGAGGTGTCCCAGCCCTGGGACCTTTTTGGTGGCCTCCTCTGAACCTGCTCCCCCAGGGCCACATCTGTCCTGTGCTGGGGACCCCCAGGCTGGGGGCAGGGCTGTAGGGGGGTGAGGAGAGCAGAGCAGAGGGGGACCATCCCCTCCCTGGGCCTGCTGGCCACGCTGCTGGGGATGCAGCCCAGGGGACACTTTGGGGTTGCCAGGACACATTGCTGGCTGGCACCACTGCCCTCCCTCTCCATCAGTTGGCTGCTGCCCCCCAGCACAGGGGCCCTGGAATTGCTCCGGGCTCCCTCCACCCTGGGAGCAGCCCTGGAGTACTGCTGGCTGCAGGGACCAGCAGCACCCCGAGGCTGGGCACTCACTTTCTGAACTGCTCCAGGAAGCGATCCCGGTGGCCCTGCAGTGTATCTGCTGGCAGACCTGGAAGAAGCAGTGAGTAGAAACGTCACCAAGAGCCTCCATGCCAGGAAGGAGCATGAAGCAGGGGACAACCCATAGGCACAGCCACCTGGGGATAGGCCTTTCCCAGAGATGCCCACCCTCCTCCTGGGGTCTGAATACTTCGGGCTCAGCATCCTGCTGCTGGAGAAGGTCGTGTCCATCCCCTCCCCAGATACTCCCGGGGCAGGGCATGGCAGGGCCTTCAGGCAGCTGCTTTCAGCATTGGAGGCTGAACCCCAACTGAGGTTGGGGGCTTTGTAGCCAGTGCCTGCCCAAAGCTGGAGGAACTCCTGATGGGCACGGTCCCTGTGGCTGAGGGACACTGGGCAGGGCAGGTTGCTGGGACAGCTCAGTCCCCCAGCACTTGCACCTCCTTGTCCCTTGTGCTGGTGACTCCCTTAACCCCCCAAAAAGTGAGGGAAGGAAACGGGGTGGGGGGCAAACGGCCCAGCCTGAGCAAGGTGGTGACCCCTGGTGTCCCCTTCCGTGTCCCCCCCAGCCCAAGGCACTGGGGACACTCACAGGAGTGGAGCTTGAAGAGCAGCTTGACAGTGTAGTCGTAGAGGTGGCTGCAGTCCAGGATGACCTGGATGAGCGGGGCCAGGCGGCACTGCCCCGCCGCCGTCACCGACACCGAGCGCGACATGTCCAGGGAGCTGAACACTGCGGGGAGGGAACATCAGCACCCAGCAGCACTGCTGCTGCCACACACCGTGTCAGGCACACCCACGGGTGTCACCCGGAGCAAAAAGCCCTTCACCCAGAGCAAGAAACCTGCTCACCCCTGGGGACCCAGCCTGCCGCCCTGCTGCCAGCGCAGCAGGGGGAACATTCCCCACCTGGGGCTCTCATGGAGAACTGGGAACAATTCAGCCTGGCACTGTGGGCTGGTCTTGAGCCCCAGCCCCCGAGGCCACGCAGCCCTGTGCTCTGCCTGTCCCACTGGTATCTGGGTGCTCCAAGCCCTGCCGGGAGCCGCTGGCAGTGCCTCAGGCTCACAATCCTCTGTCCCTGTCATGTCAATTGTACCTCGTGCTGGGTGGCAGAGGTACCCACGGGACAAAGGCACTTCTGCCAGGGCTGAGGTGGGGGATGCTGGGCTGCTGGGGACATGTCCAGTGTCCCCACCCCACCTTGATGGCCCAACCTTGCGGGTCTGCCATGCCTGCTCCCAGCGGTGCTGGTGCAGCAGGCAGAGCAGTGGTGAAGGTGGCAGCTTCATTTCATTGAACCATGGAACCACTGTTGTTGAAAAAGACCTTTAAGGTCACCAAGTCCTACTGTTACCCCAGCCCTGCCAAGGCCACCACTGCCCCATGTCTCTCAGCACCACATCTACAGGGCTTTTGAAACCCTCCAGGAATGAGGACCCCACCCCTGCCCTGGGCAGCCTGGGCCAGGGCCTGACAGCCCTTTGGGGAAGAAATTGTTCCCAAGATTCAAGCTGAACCTCCCCTGGCACAACTTGAGGCCATTTCCTCTTGTCCCATCCCTTGTTCCTGGGGAGCAGAGCCCGACCCCCCTGGCTCCAACCTCCTCTCAGCAGCTGCAGAGCCAGCAGGTCTCCCCTCAGCTCCTTGTCTCCAGGCTGGACACCCCCAGCTCCCTCAGCTGCTCCTCCTCACACTTGTGTTCCAGCCCCTTCCCCAGCTCCCTTGCCCTTCCCTGGACATGCTCCAGCCCCTCCATGTCCTCCTTGTCCCCAGGGGCCCAGAACTGACCCCAGGATTCCAGGTGCAGCCCCACCAGTGCTGAGCACAGGGGGACAATCCTGCTGGTCCCTGTAGTGCTGACACAAGCCAGGATGCTGGTGGCTGGTGCCCACCTGGGCACACGGTGGCTCATGTTCAGCTGCTGTCAACCAGCACTCCCAGGACCTTTTCTGCCTGGCACTTTCCAGCCACTCCTCCCTCCATCCCTGTGAAGGGCAGAGCAGCAAGAGCTCCCAGTATTGCTCCAGGGCCAGGTCTGCACCACATGAGTGAGTCCCTGGCACTGTTCCCATGTCACTCTGCCAGCCCATGGCCACAAGACCAGGGTGCTGCTCTCTGCACCCACACACAACCCTGTCCTGCCAGCACCCACAGCCTGGTGCATGTGGCATGTGGAAGGTTTGCCCCAGAGCTGCTTGAATTTACCCCAAACCCGATCCTGCTTGAGTGTGCAGAGGTGTGTGACAGTCCTGAGGGTTGAGACCAGCTTGTTTTTATGCCTCCTTGCCTGCAGGAGGGCAGAAGGAAGACAGGGTGGCTTCTCCCCAGCCCCCCAACCTCCCATGGCAGTTTGTAATAAGAACCAAAACCTGTCACAAGCCCCTAAGACAGAAGAACTTCAGCCTGTGGAGGCTACAGGAGCAGGGGAGCCCCATGTCTGGGTGGTGGACATGGCAGGGAGTGAGGGGGTGTGATGTGCCCCATGGCACTGCCACGAGGCAGCACAGCACATGGGGACATCAGCTAGTAATCATTTGGGTGAAAGGCCCAGAAAAGAGATGAGTCGTGATGCCCCCAGAGAACAAAGTTCCTGGAGTTCCTGCCCCAAGTGTGGCCCAGCCCCCACCGAACCCCAGCCCACCCTCCGGCAGGACTTACCCGTCTGGAAGAGGTTCAGCTCACACTCCAGGTAGTCAAACATCTCCACAGTCAGCTGGAAACTAGGAGAAAGGGATGAGCATGGTTGGGGAGCATCCCCAGGGTCACACATGGGCCTCGAGCTGTGCCCAGTGCCACCCCAGAGGGACGAGCGGGTGCTCCAGTGTGGATGCACCAGCAAGGCTGGGGGCTCTGCCCACTCCCAGCACCTGTGGCAGGGGTGGGGGGAAGGTCCCACCCCCAGCCCGGGCATGCTGTGCCACCCTGCCAGCACCCACCCCCTTCTCCCTTGCCCCCTGCTCACAAATTATTGACGTCGTTCTCCCCTGCATCGTCGAGCTGCCGGTCAGACATCTGGAGATTGCCCGGGAAACGGGGATTCTGCAGGAGGAAACAGGAGTCAGGAAAGGGGTTGGGAGGATCTGTGGCTTCAGGAGGGCCAGGGCTGCCAACCCAGCTGGTGGCCTCGATGCATGAGGCTGGGATGGCTCTTGGGATGTGCCAAGGGAGTGATGGCAGAGGGGACACTGTTATTTTAATAACACATTCTGGCTTATTCTGTATGAAAACATCTGCCTAATGAACAAGCTCCACTGAGCTAAGCGTGGCTTCCTGAGGTGTGACAGGGCATGGAGCAGCCCAGAGCTGCCACATCCTCTTCAAAGGCCAGCCCAAAGGAACCTGCCCAGCAGAACTGCTCCAGAGGCTGGAAACAAGCTCCTGCTGATGGGGGAAAAACACCCATCTGGGATAATCCCCTGGGAGGCTCCTGGGCCCAGGAGCACCCGTGGCCCAAGGGCCACAGAGTGGGGGGAGAAAAAATGGATAAGGGTGACCAACACTGATTATTTCAAGCTGGGGACAGCACTGGGTGGGACAGGATGGGACCTGATGCTGATCCTGGCCTGGACCAAACATGCCTTTATTCAGTCTTGAGAAGAGAAGGCTCAGGGGAGACTTCATTACATGTTCCAGTACTTAAAGGCTCTCAAGAAGATGGAGACTCCCTATTTACAAGGAGTCACATGGAAAAGACAAGAGGTCATGGGCACAAGTTGCTCCTGGGGAGATTCTGATTGGACACAAGAGTAGAATTTTTCCCCATGAGGACAGTCAGACATTGGAAAAGTGTCCCAAGGGAAGTGGTGGATTCCCCCACATTAAACAGTTTTAAGTCTCATCTTGACAGGGAGCTGAGCCATATCAACTATAGTAGTACCTAGAAAGGTTGGACCAGATGATCCTGGGGGTCCCTCCCAACCTGGCATTCTATGATTCTATGATTATTTTATCTAGGCTAAGGATGGGTACTGGAAGCCTGAGACCTGTCTTCTGGAGGCAGAAGGGTGACCATGACAGAGGAGAGGACCCTCAGGGATGAACAACACCAGGATGGCTCTGCCAGCCCCTCTGCACCATAACTTTGCCACCACTTTCACTCCAGCACCCTGTCACCCACCCCTTGTGGCCATGGGGATGGGACAACTCTCACCTTGGTGTGAAACTCCATCTTGGTTCTCAGCAGTTTGAGGTAGATGCTGCAGAGCTGTCCATAGCCCTCGCTCAGGTGGCCCTGGGGACACCAAAAAGTGGTGAGATCTGGGGTAGGCTGTGAAGAAGCCTTCCCCTGGTGCAGCATGAACAACCCCTCCCTTGTTTCCCCCAGACCCAGCCCAAAACCTCCTCACTGACACCCAGGCTGCAGCCTGCCTTGCAGCAACTGTGCCCAAAGGGTTTGGTGAAGACCTTCTCATCACCTTCTCTGCAGATGGCAGTGCTGCATTTGACAGCCAGAGCCGAGTTTTGCTGGATTTTTTGCCAGAAAACAGGAAGAAGGCACATGATTTTGGTGGAATGGGGTGTTGAAGACAACCAGCAAAGCCAGCTGAGGGAGGTCACAGCAGCCATGGGTCAGCCATGACCCAGCCTGGCTTCTCTTGAGTGACACCAGGGTCCAAGCCATCACCACCATCCCCTACCCTGGTCAGGCCACCAGGTGCTGCTGAGGAACCCCTGGAATGTCCCTGCTGTGGTGAGTGGGGGTGTCAGCTTACCCACATCCTGCTCATGTCGCTCAGCTCATTCTTGTATCTCATGGAGTCTTTCAGGACCTGGAGGAACAATGAGAATAAGGAGGCAAAGCACGAGGGCAAGGTGTGCTGTGCTGGGAGCCAGCACCAAGGGGAGGAACGGGAGGTCTTGGTGCATTCCCAACCCTGCAGCCCTGCTGGTGGCACCACTAGCACCGGCACCACTAGCACCAGCCCCAGCGTGCCTCAGTTTCCCCATCTGCACATAGGGCAGGAAGACCCTTGCTGATGGCTCCTGAACCTGTGCCTGATGCTGCAGTTGGCACTGGTGCAGGGGGGTCCTTGTGCCAGCCCCCACACAAGACCGACCCCCAGGGCAGCACCGACCCATCAGCACCCCCCACCAGCCCACGGGGAAAGGATTTGTCCCTGGGGTGGGTGCTGAGCTGAGGCTGTGACACTCACGTTGGAGTGGCCGTCCCGGAGCAGCTTGTGGAAGACGTGGCAGAACTTCCAGCAGAGCACGGCGTTGCCGGAGAGCGGCAGCCGGTTCACCACCGACCAGAAGGTCTGAGCCCCCTTCTCGTGGTGCGTGCCCAGGATGCAGGGTGGAGACCAGTCAAGGAAACACTCTGCTCCCAGTGTCAGAGAGCGGCCAGCCCAGAGCTGGCTGGTGCCTGTGGAGCTGAGAAGCTGCCAGGCCCAGGCTGTCCCCAAGGGTGGCATGTGCTGTCCCCTCTCCTTCAGCCCCACAACAGCACTCCAGGAGCTCAGTGGCACGTTTGGGGCTGGGGCTGTGCCTCTGCTGAGCCTTCCCAGCTGTTGTGCTGGGATGCTGTGGATCTGCCACCAGCTCAGCTGGCTCACAGGCACCTCCAGGGACAGAGCAGCCAGGCAGACACCCTGCTGCGGGCACCTGCCCCTCCTGCCCCCAGGCAGACACCCTGCTGCGGGCACCTGCCCCTCCTGCCCCCAGACCGACACCCTGAGGCAGACACCCTGCTGTGGGCACCTGCCCCTCCTGCCCCCAGGCAGACACCCTGCTGTGGGCACCTGCCCCTCCTGCCCCCAGGCAGACACCCTGCTGTGGGCACCTGCCCCTCCTGCCCCCAGGCAGACACCCTGCTGTGGGCATCTGTCCCTCCTGGCCCCGCAGCACAAGGCTGGGCACTCCCTGACACAGGAAAGTCACAGCACTGGGAGCTGGGACTCCATCCTGTGCTGGAAAAACCCCTGACCATCACTGGGAGCCCCTCAGGATTCCACCCAGCCCCGCTCAGCACCGCAGGGACCAGCTGTATCAGCACTGCTCCCCAGTGCCATCCTGCCCCTGCCCCTTCCCAGGCCCCGCTCCCACGCTCGCTTGTCCCGCAGCCAACGTTGGGAAGGATATTCCTGGCGTGCTTCTCCTTGACAGCCACTTCCTGAGCATTAATAGCTTTATGGATGCTGACAGTCTGCAAAAGAGAAGCAGTGGAGGGGGGGTGAGATGTGGGCTGCCCTGTTGGTCCCCCCACACCCGCTGGGAACCCCCGGCTGCACCAGCACCTGCTGCTGGCTGGATCCCAGCCCAGCCCCTGCGATGCCAATGGCTGCCGGATGCCTCTCTGAGACATGGTTGGCACCCACCAGGTTCAGCTGCTGCCAGGACTCATTTATTCAGCATAATAATGACGCAATCAAAGCAGCGACCACAAAGGACCCTCTCCTGCCCTTGGGGTGGTGGGATGGGCAAGAAGGAAGGTGATTCCCTCCTCTGCCCTTGAATCATGGGCAGCAGCTGGTGGTTCCTGCTCTGTTTTTAGAGAATCATAAGCATTGGAAGGGACCCCAAAGATCACCAGGTTCCAACCCCCCTGCCATGAGCAGGGAACCACCAGACCAGGTTGCACAAAACCTCATCCAACCTGGCCTTAAAAACCTCCAGGGATGGGGCATCAACAACCTCCCTAGGCAACCCATCCCAGTTCCTCACCACCCTGAGAGTGAAGAATTTCTTCCTAAGATCTCACCTAAATCTCCCCTCTCTCAGTTTAAAACCATCACCCCTTGTCCTATCACTGTCTTCTCAGATGAAAAGCCTCTCCCCAGCTCTTCTGGAGCCCCTTCAGGCACTGGAAGGTGCTCTAAGATCTCCCCAGAGCCTTCTCCTCCCTTCTGGTGATTCTATGATCATGGGCAGCAGCTGGTGGTTCCTGCTCCCCACTTTCTGTGGGGCTGAGCAAAGAGGGTGTTCTGGGGGGCATGGGGAATCCAGCAGCAGGATGGAAAGACCCTCACTGGCTAGAGAGTGGAGCTGGCAGCAAAGGACACAGCCTCAGCTGTGGGATTACAGGGGCAGTAGATGGACCTGCTGCCTTGCACCTGCTGCCACCCACCCCACCAGCACAGCACAAGTGGGTCCCACCACCTGGAGCCCCCTAGAATCACAGGACCCTTCAGGTTGGAAAAGACCCTTGGGATCGTCCAGTCCAACCATCATCCCTGCTCTGCAAAGTTCTCCCCCAAACCATATCCACCAACACCACATCCAGACGACCCCTAAGCACAGGCAGGGTTGGCTGCCCAGCCCTTGGTGGGGCAGGCAGGGCTGCAGGCAGCTCTCCACAGCACAGCCCTGCCCTCTGCTCTGCCAAGAAGGGCAGGACTTGGCTCACAGGTATCCTGGACCTGGGGAACTCCCAACAAGGAGCCCAGACAGAGCCAGAGCTCCCATTTAGACTCTAGAGAGGCAGTGGCAGCATTTGCTGGGCTGGATTTCTAATCCTGCCCCATTCCTGTCCCTAGGGCAGCAGGGCCAGCAGTGCAGTGACACTGCAGCTTGTCCTACATGGCTGCGCAGGGACACCATAAAACCATCCTGGTTGGAAAGGACCTTAAATATCATCAAGTCCAACCATAACTTAAATCGCCCTACCATAACCAGATTTACCCATTCAGTGCTTAAATCATGTCCCTCAGCACCACATCTGTATTTCTTTTAAATACTTCCAGGGATGGTGACTCCACCACCTCCCTGGGCAAACCAGCATGGGACAATCCTGGCTCCAGTGGCTTCAAGCTCTTGCCTGAGAGCTGAAAGAAACACCAGCAGTGGAGACAACTGGGGCCATAAGACATCCTTTCTGGGGCCTGGATGGTGGTGAGCAAGCTCCCAGTGCAGAAGCCAAGAAGCCAACTCTGCAGCTCTGCCAAGCCCTGCAGATGCAGCCCCTTCTCATTAATGAAAAACATAAAACAAAATTCAACATTAAAAAAATCCTCAGAAAGGTGGCAAACAAACCCCTCTGCCTGCAGTGACAGGCTGGAGGATCAGCAGTCTCAGGTGATGTCTACATCCCAACAGCCCCCAGTGACACATGCCACGGGTCCAGCTTCACCTTCTCCACATCCAGAGTCACAAAATCCAAAATCTGTCCCAGCAGTGAGGAGTGCCAGGATGGGCATTTAACCACATCTTGCCTTGAAATGGGAGTCCTGGACCACATGGCCCAAAGCCAGGGCTGGCAAGGGGAAGCTCACAGCCAGGGGTGGGATGGGGACACCACGCTCCCAGAGCTCCCCCAGGGCACGTGCCCACTTCCCTGTCCCTGGCAGACTGGATGGGAGGGTCCGAGGAATTAAGTGGTGCCAGGGGTTTCTGCCTCACTGGGAAAGCTGGAAATGGAGCTCCCAGTTTAAGAGCAGTTTCCTGCCCTATTTTTCTGGTAAAGCAAGGACACGTGTTTCCAACCAAAGAGGCTCCTGGTGACCCTCCAGAGTGGGGAGATACAGTGCGGGAGCGACAGGGGAACTGGCTCTGGGTGGCCTCCAGGACCCTCCATCCCCAAGACCCCCCTCTATTTGAAGCACACATCATGTCTGTGTGGATGGTAGAAAAGTTTCCTGAGGACAAGCTGGATCCCCTGTCCGTGTCCGTGCAGGTGCAGAGGGTGGTCACCTCCCTGCTGCCTCCCCAGGAGGGCAGGGCAGGGTGGGGAGCCTGTCCCAGGAGCTGCCCAGAGCACTGGGACCTGGGAGATGCTCAAACTGCTGCTCCAGCAGCCCTGGCAGCAGCTGCTCCTCTCCAGGAGCTTTGGCTCAGAGACTGGGTCAGAAAGGAGGGAAATTTGGGGCTGCCTTGAAAGCAAAGCTCACGCCTCTGCCATGATGGGGTGGGGTTTGTCACCCTGACCCACAGGTGCCAGCACCCTCAGGCACCTGCAGCTGATGGTATTTTCATTTTAGTTTCATTAAGAGCTTCCACACCACAAGGGCTGGATCCAACCTGCCTTGGCAGTGCCACCAACTCTGCTCCAGATTCCTGCCCATGGAGGGACATCAGCCCCTGTCCCCATAACCAGCAAGCACTGGGAAAGCTGCGAGTCCTGGGAATACTACAAGCACTACTGGAGTGGGACAAGGAAACTCTGGAACACAGAGAGGATCAGGCTGTTTAGGGAATGATCAGGTCAGATCTTACAGACAGGGGATGATCCAACCTCATATCCCTGCCTGAGTAGTTTCTTCTCCCTGTGCAGCAACAAGGGGGTTCCCAGAAACCCCCCACAGGGTCTTTTCTTCTGGCTTGATTTGCTACTGCTGCCCTGTCTCGGGGAAATTCTGTGCTGTTCCCGCAGGACTCCAGGAATCCTGGTGCCAGGGAGCACTGCCTGCCCAAGGAATGAGCTGACCCCCATCCCACCAGACCCCCACAGCTCTCGACCCTCACAGGGAAGTGTTAGACCAGAGCTGAACCACCAGCAGCTCCACACCAGGGGCACCCCCGGCCGTGGTTCATGTCAAACCCCTCTCCAGGCACATGCCCACAGGGACAGAGGAGACCAAAAATGCACGGAGGGACCTGAGATAGAGTGACAGAGCCTTTCTGAGCCCTGAGAAACACATCTGCCTTCCACAGGCACATCCACCCACCCTCATCCCTGCCAGACCTCCCCAAATTCCACTCCTGAACTGCAACCCCGGTGCTGCGGAGCCGAGCTCTGCCGGGGCCGTGCGGCGCCTTCCCGGTTCCAAAAGGAAATGAGTGTTGATTAAAGAATCCTGAGCTATTGCAAATTATTTGGAGAAACTGAGTAAGTCGCAGTGCAGATCCTCTTAGTAATGCTCCCTCATTTCTCCTTAATTCCTTCCTATAAATGGAGAGCTGGGACGGACTGTACCTCCGAGGTGACCAAGCCCCGCAGAGCCAGGGCTCCGGGGGAAGCAGGAAGGGAGACCTGGCTACAAGAAGCCTGGAAAAAAATATCTATGAGCTTAATTAAAAAGCAAATCCCAGCGTAGCAAAGCTTCCCAGAGCTGTGGGGCAGCTTCTCAGAGGACACGTCTTGAACCATCACTCACCAACAGCAAACCACGGGGGCTCAGGGAAGGTTTTTCTCCGGCAAAATCCCCAAGGAAAGGTGGCTGGATAATGCCGGGCTGGTGGATGTCCCATTGGAGACATTAAAAAGACATTCCCATCGTTTAATCCAGGCTATTTGGCTGCATCCACTGCCAGATCCATGAGCACTCCTGTCCCAGCTGGCTACATGCCTGAGCTGCTCCAGGGATGAAGCGCCGTGACCAGGGCTGTGCAAGCATCTCTGTGAAGCTGCTGCTGCTTTTCTCGCCTCCTGCTCCCACCAGATGAGAAAAAAATCCCCCAAATCCCCCGAGTCTCAGATTTCCCTTTGCTTGGGTCACTGGCACAACCACATTTTCCCCCAAGCAACGTTGGACTCTGGTGTTGGAGACCCCAGCATCTCTGCTGCCAGTGGTGGTGGCTCAAGGTGCACCCCTCTGGGAGGAGATGCTGATGCCACCAGCTGGGATGCTAGCAGGAGTAGGAGGACCAAGGTGTACCACAGACAGTTTAGAAATCCCAGGGACACCAGCATGGGGGCCTCAGAGGGTGCTTGGGGACACCTCGTCCCATACCCTGCCCTGCTGCCCCCCAACTGCTCCATGACACATGGGACACCCCAAACTGGAGTCACTGGGAAGACAGCCATGGGCTCCACGAGCTGCACTGAAAGCCAATGGCATCACTGTGAGACTCTTCCTGGCATCACTGCTTCTGGGTCTGCTCCCCTGAGGCTGGGAGGGTGATGACTTCAGAGCTGTGTCACACTTGGTCTACCCACCATCGGGGCTCTCCAGCGTAGGGCAAAGCCCTATGTGAGCGTTATGGAGAAGCTGTTCCAGCACATCTGGTTCTCTCAGGGAAGAAACCACCCAGGAAATGGTGATGAAATGTTCAGAGGTCTCCACCCCACAAGGAGATACAAAATTACTCTTGCCAAGGCCTGGACTGGTGAGCTTAGTAACACCAGCAGAAGGATGCAGGTAAGTGGAAGGACACACATTTTGAGTGAACCCGAGCAGCCCATCCCACCAGCTCCCAGCCTGTCCCGAGGGCATCACAGGTTGGGGTCCACAGGATGATTTGCCCATGAGCTGCAGGTGCAAGGACCTA